GCTACTTGGAAGGCTGAGGCGGAAGGATCGCCGGAGCCCAGCAGGTCGAGGATGTGGCGGCCAGGAGTGGCCACTGCACTCCAGTCTGAGCGACAGAGTGAGGCTCCGACAAAAAAAAAAAAAAAAAAAAAAAAAAAAAAGAAATGTGTCTTCTACACTGTCCCTTGTTAGAAGGCCAAAAAGGGGACGATCCTGGGACGAACCTGAAACTGGGTTTCAGGTTGGGCAGGCTAATCCCGGTCCTGAATTATAAACCCTGAAAACTATTTTGATTTTTTACAAAATTGGAGTGGAGGTACTGTGAACAAGTGCTTGCAGATGGAATTTACAGGCCCACCTCACTTTTCTGCTTCCTTTTATCTCAAGGCATCAGTCAGTACTGAAGAAACAGTTACTAAACATTCAACATCCTAACTCCCGCTCTTCCCTTTGCTAAGAGCTGCTTCTTATCACCTGTGAGAAATGACACACAAAGCCCACAGCAGGTATCTCCACAGCCTACGGGTCCTGACTTGCTTGTTTTCTTTGCTGGCGGAAGAAGGCTGCGGAACTGGGAGTAGTCACCGCCATGGGGAAGCCACCCTTGGACAGGTGGCTGCCCGTGTTCACAGCCACGTCCCCCAACCCTGGGGCAGACACACCATTTTTGGCCAAGGTGGACTGACCTGGCATTTAATCCCAGCCTGGCTACAGGCACACGCCTCTGGGTCACAGTACAGCCGACAGTCACAACCACACTCTTCCCGTGACAGGCGAATGGCCCGAAGCTCTTGCTTCTCTTCGGCATCGATGCGGTGGACCCCAGAAGCCCTCAGCAGGGCCCGTCGCCGTTTGGTGGGCAGAGGCTGCAGGAAGAAGTAATCGTCCACCTCCACGTTCTCCACATCGATGTCTTCGTCCGACACGTCATCCAGGGTCAGGCCGTCAGCCTCCACTGACTCCACTGTCCCGTTCTTGGTCAGCTGCCAAGAGACAGGGAATGTTAGCCCTTTGGGTGTTAGCAACACAAACCTCCAAGTGACCATCAGAGCAGCACTGTCTGTTGGCCTTTCTGCAACGACAGGAGTATCTGTGCCGTCCAATACAACAGCCGCTGGCACTGAGCACTAGAACTGTGTCAGCTGAAACGCAATTTTACACTTTATTTAATTTTTTTTGTTTTGTTTTGAGTTGGAGTCTCACTCTGTCGCCCAGACTGGAGTGCAGTAGCTGCTCCCGGCTACCACAGCCTCGAATTGCTGGGCTCCGGCGATCCTTCCGCCTCAGTCTTCCAAGTAGCTGGAACTACAGGCGTGCACTACCACACCTGGCTAATTTTTGTATTTATTGCAAAGATGGGGTCTCGCCAAGTTGCCCAGGAGGGTCTCAAACCGGGCTTAGCCAATCCACTCAGCTCAGCCTCCCAAAGCACGGGATTACAGGCTGAGCCACTGAGCCCGGCTTGTATTTAATTTTAATAGCCCTCTGGATATATTAGATAGCACAGGACAAGAGAATAAAGGCAGAGCGGAAGACAGGAAATCTTATGCAGCATCACCCTGTCAACACAAGGGATACCAGTTTTCTAGAACCAAGTTTCTCAGAAACCCCCGTTTCCTCTCCCCTCCACCCAAAAGATAATCTATTCCCACAAACATACTCCATTTCCAGACACGTGTTGCTTAAGCTCACCTGCCTTCCAACACAGGGAGGAAAGGGGGTAGAAATGGTTGGATGTTCCCTGGCTATATAGATAAGCTTGTACCTCGTGAAACCCGAAACTACCTTCTGGGAAAATACATTAAGGTAGAAGGCCACCAGGTCTTCATCAGTGATCCTGAACCCCCACAGTGTGTATGCGCTGCAGACTTCATTTTACCGGGAGGAGAAAAAGCAAATTATGAACAGATCCACAGAAAGCCCTCAGCCTGGAAGAAATGTCTTCCTTCTCCTTTCTAATCAATAAAAGTCGTATGTGAGGTAGGGCGGTATAAATAATCCGCGTGTCTACCCTACAGGCAGAAATCTGGGTTTTCTGGGCTGGGATGGAGAGACAGCCAGGAAGGCATCTCAGTGGAAGGACAGATTGAAGACATTTAGCTGAATGAGTCCTACAAACCCACTAGAGAATTCAGTAAAGAAAATGAGGCCTCATAATCTTTGGGGCTCTGGAAGCTGCTAGCAGGTTGGAAGCCAAGGGGCTGGAGCCTCCAGTTTATTTCATCAGACAACCGCAGAGCAGCGCTGGGAAAGGAATGGGTCCTGGGAGAGGTGTGATGCAACAGACCTGGGCACTCAGCTCACACCTGGCTTTTCTGTCTGTTTTGGGGGAGGTGGTAGAATAATGACGAGAAGCTGGGCTTCTGGAGGTCCCCTGGTCTATTTCTGTACGAGGCAGACCAACTCCAAGGGGCCTTCCGCAGACCTTAGGATGCTCCTGGTCTGTGTCACCGGGCTGGCCTCCTCCTAAGCCCTCTGAGATGAGAGATGCAACAGAAAGAAACCCATGGAGATACGAGAATTTAATCGACCATGATAGAAGTGGCATTTCAAACCAGTGAGAAGAGTCTTCTCGTCATTAAATGTTATTGGGACACCTGGGTATTCCTTGGGGAAAAATGTTAGACTCCAGCTGGCCTCAGTGGCTCAGCCTGTAATCCCAGCACTTTGGGAAGCCGAGGTGTGTGGATTGCCTGAGTCCAGGGGTTCGAAACCAGCCCGGGCAACTTGGTGAGACCTTGTCTCTACAATAAATCAAAAATTAGCTGGGCATGATAATGCGTGCTGTAGTTCCAGCTACTTAGAAGGCTGAGGCGGAAGGATCGCCAGAGCCCAGAAGGTCGATGCTGGGGTGGCCATGAGCATGCCACTGCACTCCAGCCTGGGCGACAGAGTAAGACTCCAACTCAAAGGAAAAAAAAAGTTAAAAGACTCCCAGTTCATACCATTCATAGTAACGAATTCCATGAGGGTAACAGGCCACAATACAAAAAATAAAATGATGAAAGTATTAGAAGTATAGGTCACCAAAGCTGCAGAGTACCAGTTGCTGGAACCCCTACCCAAGAGGAAAACACACATTACGTGACACATGGCCGATGTAGTCTGTGTTTTTGGAGAACAACGGCCTCCCTTAGAGATTACTGAGGATAAGAACTAGCCCTAAGAAAAGAGTAGACCATGGATGGTAAAGCAAGAGTTTTCTCTTAACATATGAGAGAAGCCTGGTACAGTGGTACATGCATGTAGCCCCACCTACGTGGAAGGCTGAGGCAGGAAGAGTGCTTGAGCCCAGGAGTTTGAGATGAGCCTGGGCAACATAGTGAGATCCTATCTTTGTAAATCTGTATTTTTTTTCTTTTGAGTTGGGGGTCTCACTCTGTTGCCAACACTGGAGTGCAGTGGTGTGCTCATGGCTCTCTGTAGCCTTGATCTCTTAGACTCAGGCAATCCTTCTACCTCAGCATCTCAGGAACTAGGACTACAGGTGCGTGCCACTATGCCCAGTTAACTTTTTAATTTTTTTTGTAGAGATGAGGTTTCACTATGTTGCCCAGGCTGGTCTCAAACTTCTGGGCTCAAGCAATCTACCTGCCTTGGCCTCCTAAAGTGCCAGGATTACAGGTGTGAGTCACTACACCTGGCCTTATTTTATAATTATTTATTTATATATTGAGATCCCATCTTAAAAAAAAGATATATTAGATGCCAGCATTGCTGGTGCTCGCTAAATATCCTGCTAACAAGTAGGGAGTCCACATGTCAGTCTGAAGTTTGCCTCCCTAGAATGCCTAGGGGAAGAGGGACACAGATCAGGATGGTACCCCACTTCTGACAGACCATTCCTCTATCAGATTTTCTAGGAGAGAGTAGTGTTCTTCTAGAGAAAGGGAAGAATGCCTTCACTGCAATGGATGAGAAGTGTTGGCTTGCCTAGCTGTTGTTATAGAAGCTGGAAGGTGACAGGGTCAGTGATAGAGTTCCTCAGACTGAAGAAAGGGAAGCCTGAATGCCACTCTAGTGAAAAAGCAGGTGTGGGGCTTTGGGATGGGCTGAGGGAAGCAGGCACAGAGCTCTCACAGGGCGAGAGGAATGAGGTCGGGGCGGCACACATCCTCTGCGACCAGGTCTCCAGCCCTGCCACATTCTGGCGTGTCTCACCCACAGTCCTGGAAACAATGCTGCCACCTGTCTTAATATGGGTCAGCATGCTCTGGGCCCCAAAGGAACCTGGTCAGCTTTACCGCAGTCTTCTTCAGATTTGGAACTAGGGACTTGGGGGGAACGTTTCTGAGGACGGGTGGAAACAATGGCTGTGGAGTGCCCAACAGTGCTAAGACAGCAAGTGGGTGGCTCTCGAGGACTCTCTGAGCTGGGATGTCCCCAGGCCCTTTCTCCTAAGCTTGAAGAGCTGATGCCGTATCAGATGGCAGACATAGTAGTGTGCAAGCTGAAATAACTATTTGGGAATGTTGCTGTCTGTACCTAGATTATCACCCAAGGGTGATGGCAGTCATAGAAAGAGCAGGATCCTTTCACAGAATGTGAAGTACCCAAAACCTGTTTTATGCATCAAGGCAAAGGACAATCATACAACTAGAAATGGAAAACTGCTTCCTTAGGCTCCAGGGGTGGCAGACCTGAATGCCTTCAGGTATTCACACTTTAAACTTAAAAAAAAAAAAAAATATTGAAGAGGCTGGGCATGGTGGCTCACACCTATAATCCCAGCACTTTGGGAAGCCAAGGCGAGAGAATTGCTTAAGTCCACGGGTTTGAGACCAGCTTGGGCAATTTGGCGAGACCTCATCTCTACAATAAATCAAAAAATCAGCCATGCGTAGTGGCCCATGCCTATAGTTCCAGCTACTTGGAAGGCTGAGGCAGAAGAATTGCCTGAACCTAGCAGATTGAGGCTGCGGCGGCCGTGAGTGTGCCACTCCAGCCTGGGCAACAGAGTAAGACTCCAATTCAAAAAAAAAAAAATTGAGCTAAATATGGTGGCTCACACCTGCAATCCCAGCACTTTGGGAGGCTGAGGCAGGAGATTTGCTTAAGGCCAAGAGTTCAAGAACTGCCTGGGCAACATAGCCAGACCCTGCAAAAAATTTTTAAAAAATAAACTAGATGCACCTGTAGTCCAAGCTATTCTGGAGGTTGAGGTAAGAGGACTGTTGAGTCCAGGAAGTTGAGGCTGCAGTAAGTCGTGATTGCACCACTGCACTCCAGCCTGGGCAACAGAGCAAGACCCAGTCTCAAAAAAAAAGGAGTGGGGAGGGGGTAGTGGGAGAAGAGGAGGAGAAATTTTAGGCAAGTCATTTTGCTGTATCTGATAAACGACTTCCACACGGGATACACGGAAGGGTGTCTCAGACTGAGATCTGATTCCAAAGCTGAGACTTTTCATGGATATTGGAATTTGGAATCTACACACCCAGGACAACAGTCAAGTAAAAAAGCCGTGAGGCTAGATGGTTTCCCGCTTGACCTTAGTGCGTGGGAACTACCAGACCCCAGACCCCTTAGGCACCTTCATTTTCTTGGCATGGAGTTTCTCTTCCTTCAGGTGCTCACGAAGAATCTCGCGATGGTTCACCTCCTGCTCTTGAGCAAACTCACAGAGCGTGTAGCTCCGCACAGAGTTGTGGCGCTGGGCCATGCCCAGGGAGCTCCCACCCTGGCTGGGCACACTGGTGAAACCCTGGCGCCGGGCAAAGTAGTACACAGTCACCTGGTCGAAGCGTACATTCTTCCTCCGCAGCTGCTTCTGCCGCTTCAGGATGGATGTGGCTGAGGGAGGGAGCACAGACAGGCGTCACTATCCCATGGATGGCCTGCCCGGAGCTTGCTCCTTCTCATCCACCTGAGCTCTCAACTCTCCTCCTCCAAATGTGCTCCCTGTATCCAGAGAACTTTCTAGTATTTTAAATCACAAATGCTCTGCTGCAAGGGACCGCAGTGGGGCCCTACCACTGCTTCCACGCTGACCTCTCCTAAGCAGCTGACCACAAAATCTATTCTCAGGCACCAGCTGGGAAGAGGGTCTCTGGGCAGTCTTTTCAGGACATAACAATCTATAGTTTTACTGCCCAGTATGGCAGCTCCTAGCCACCTGTGGCAATTTAAGTTTAAGTTAACGCAAATGAACTGAAATTAAAAATTCAGCTCCTCAGTGCCACAAGTAGCAAATGGCTACCAACAGACAATGCAGATATGGGACATTTCTATCATAACAGAAATTCCATCAGATAATATTGGTCTATAGCAGGGGAAGGCCAACTTTTCCTGTAAAGGGCCAGACAGTAAGTATTTTAGGTTCCACAGACCAAGAGGTCTTCACTGCAACAACTCAACTCTGCCACTGTAACATGAAAGAAATCATGGACCATGGGTGTTCCAATAAAACTTTATTTACAAAAATAGGCAGTGGGCCAGATTTGGCCCATGGATAGCTCCTGATACATAGTATCAGAAGTTCTTTCCAGGAATAAACTGAACATAAGAATCAAGAAACCTAGAGTTCCCAGTTGTCTGAGCAGTAAGCATTTATGTCCTGGGACTCTGGTGGGGGAAGGGTAGCGTCCTGGACTCCTTCAATGTAATTTAACCCATTCTGGGGACCCACAAACCACAACACAAGTAAACTCAGCTAGAATAAACCAGACTTCAGTCTACAATACTAAAGCAACGAGGTCCTCCAAAGAGCAAGGAAAGATTCTGATTCAGGGTGAATCCCCAAGCTGGAGGAGAAGCTGATTTGAGTTGCCAATGGGCTGATGTGTGGGGAGTGTGGGGACAGGCAGGAAGGGGCAGTCACTCACGTGTGAAGCTGGCAGTGGTAGGAGGGTTGAGACTGTCGCAGCTGTCAGCACTGTCACTGCTGGAGATCTCATCATCCGAGTTGGACACCGACGAGCCCACATCCACATCATCAAACTTCCTCTTGAGACCCGAGCCCGTGAATGCATCCATTGGTTTCAAAGGGGTTTCTTTGGGGGGCCCACCGTGTTGGCCCCAAAGCCCCTGCTCACCACCAGCTAGCCAGGAGCATTAGGATTCTGCCCAGGGAGAAAGATGAATCAGCATTCTTGTCCACGGACAGACCCCTCCCAAGGCCATACACACAGCTTTGGTTGAAGGAAGTAGGTGCCGTGTCTGCTTTCTCAAGATTAGGTCATTTCTACTGATCCCCACCAACATGCTGCTACTTTTGTTTCCCTTCAGCCCCTCCAGTCTCAGTCACTCTTGGGATGATGGCATGGGTAGCAGCAGCACCCTTCCCAGAGGAGGGAAGGCCTCTGGTTCCAATCCAGTTGAGCTCGGGCTTCATTCACCCAGGGACAACATATCTGCTCTTGGGATCACATGGGGGAGCTCCAGGGAACCCATGGGAGGGCTGGAGACCAGGAGCAGAATTAGGCTTCGCCTAAGCCAAGACTACCCAATTACTTATGTATTTGTTTATTTATTTAAGAGGTGGGGTCTCGCTATGTTGTTGCCCGAGCTGGCCTCAAACTCCTGCAGTCCTCTCGCCTCTGCCTCCCGAGTAGCTTGGGACTACAGGCACACGCCACCACACCCAGCTAGACCCAATTATTTTTCCTAGTGATAATACAGCCTGGCATTTCCCAAAGTGTAGATTTAAAACACCCTAGTCCCATGGATATTAATAGCTTTTACATGAAAATAGGACTGCTGTGTCAAAAGAGTTGGGAAAACTGCTGACAGCAGAGCCTCCTAGCGGCTTTTAATATACTAATGAGGACGGCGAAGGCGGAGAAAAAACACAGAATGCAGTGTTTCTACAAACCAAACCTGACTACGGAACCCACTGTTTCCAAAGTATCTTAGAGCAAATAAGCCTTGGGACACCTTTGGGAAATACTGTCCTGGGTTCTCAGTTGTGAAGCACACGGGTGGTCAGGAAAACCCTGACCCGGATCTTCACAAGCGTCAAGCATCTCACCATGCCCCTAAAAGGTCAACCTGGTACTAAGGAATAAACCCGAGATTAACACCTGCGCTGGCTTCAAAGCCCAACTCTCCCCCACCTCCCACACTCCATACAAGAGGGCTCACGTAGCCTGTCCTCATCCTTGCCAAGGACAATGTGGCTTTCCAGCCTTTGCCTTCTGTAAAGAAACAGCGAAGCAAAAATAAACAGCAGAAGAAGCGAGATTTACTTCGGTTACATCATCAATACAGCGAGCAGGGTTTTAACTCGTCTGCACACGACCAAGGAGTCTGATAGTCCGATCCCCAGGTACAAATCTTTCTCCTTGTCTTTGAACTGAGGTGCCAAAGGACACGGACCTGCTCAGCAGAAAAGCCATCAGAGCCGGAGCCATGTGTGAGGAGGTACGAAGCCTACCGTCTCTGCCTCAGTAATGCCAGAATCTCCCCAGACCATGATCTCACTAGTTGCTAATTATGCAGCAGGAATAACAACACTGCCCAGAACAACAGGGCTGCATGACTGCAGAGCAGCTACCCAGAATATGCCATGGTGTCAAGAGAGGCCTGCTTCAGAGCTGGTTTTCTAGATTGCGCCTCCTGGAAGCAGTGTGCCTGCTCTTGGGTCAGCTCTGCAAAGTCAACCAGACCTAATACACACTTTCGAGAAGATAGTTCCCAATCTGTCCGGATCTCATCAAATTCTGCATTAATCACAAAATGTACCTAAGAAACCTTAGCCACCGTAGGTCTCAGACAAGCACATTCCTGAAATAAATTTGGCCGGGGAGGGGGGAAAAAAATCAAATAGTTGATAAGAATTATAATTAAATTTAAAAATGAGCCCAAGTATCAATCAGTTCTGTTCTTCAGGTTACTGCTCTTAACATCAGAGGTCACAGTCTTAGGACGTGGCAAGAATGGAGAGAGCCAAGGGCTTTTCATGGATTAAGATTTTAGTTGGGTTTAAAGACACCTCTCAATAAACATATCTCTCAATCCATTCTTCTCGGGGGTCCCTTGTAACTGAGTTGGGTTACAACTCAGTTGTAAGTGGGTGGGAGGGAAGAATGAGGTAATGTTGGCCAATGAATTTACTTTCTCCTCCCCACTTAATACTTTATCGACCACATGAGAAATCAGACTGAGCTGAAAATCTGCTTTCTCAGAACAGGCTTAAGTCCCCCTTCAGTTTTAACTGCACTCTGGTTAGTGATACGGCTAGAAAAGTGGCTTGTTCCTCGGCCTGGAGCACTCAGGGATTTATGACCAGATGGGAACGCTCACTCCTGTGCTTTCCTCAGGTTGCCCTCGGCTACTGGTAGTGAGGGCTTCCTTTGACTATTCTCTTTACGCCCAGCATGAGCTGAGGTCTGATCCAAAACCTTGAGTACTAGAATTCTCCACTGTCTTAACCCAGTTGTCCGCAGAAGTATCTCTGCTCTTTAGGTTGCTTTTTGTGAACTTGGCCCCAACAAGACTTGATGGCTGCTTGTTCCATTCTCCTCCTTTTTCCATGTTTCCCTACTTCTACTTCAGGAATAGTGGTTTCCGGGCAATGATAGGAGGCAGGTAAGAAAGAAGAAAACAGAAAAAAGATGTGACATCTAGGCAAGAAATATTTTCCCTCACCTTTCGGAGAATAATTGAACTCCGTGGCTGTATGTGTGAATAACATGTACATTGACCTAACTGTCCCATTATCTTGGGTGGCACCCGGGCAAGTTTCCAAGGGGTCAACCCTGCTCTCTTCACCTGCCCAAGATCTCTGACGTTAGCTCCATTATTTTTAAAAAAATCTAATATGTCCTGACATCCAATATAAGTCTAAATTTCAACCCAGTTCCCCTTGTCCAACTCTCTGCTGTGAACTTGACTTTTGTATAAAGATGTTCCCTGAGCACCAAGAACAAACTACCCCTCCACCTCCACAGTACCCTGAAAGAAATCTTTCTTTGCAACAGTAACAACTAGAATAGGTTCCATGCTTTCCGATTCATCAAATTCTCTCCTCCTTTCTAACCACAACTAGAAATCAGTCATGCCTACCTCTCTCAGCTATTCATTGGTAGAGGATCAATGCCTGAGTTCAAGAGATACACTTGCAAGTTATAGTCCAAGCACTTAAACCCATCCAGAAATAATCAAGGTGAGCCTGGAAATGCAGGTCAAACTGACAGTTAACTGTCAAAATGACCAATTTGAACAACAAATGCTTTTGGAGAAAAGAATGCAACCCTCTATAAAAGCCTTTAAATGCCAGTGAAATGAAAGGTCAGCTGACACTCTCTGGCTACATGCCTTACGGTCTTTTCTCAAGTGTTTCTAGCTGAACATTTCCCAAAGGTACATGAAATAGTTCAGATCCACTGCATATAGCAGACATTAGGCAAGCACCAAATAAAACAGGTCTACCAGCACACATGTCTTTTAGGACTGGATCTAATGTTTTTCAGGCCTATAAGGATTCCTATAACAAGTAAAACAAACAGATTAAAAACCCAGCATATGTGAGACTAGCAAAAGGGACTGGCCAGAAAAAATGTTTGGAAGAATGTATCTGTGACGGTTAAGTCTCTTTCTTAAATGAGACCAAAGTAACAGGACAAGGCACATGTCACAGGAGAAAGCATCTCCACTCAACTGGAGCCCAGCCTGCTGCTAAAGGTCAAGGGACCAAAATCTCTAGCAGGTCTTGTTCAGCGCTACCATCTGTAGCTGGGTTAGAGGAAGGAAGTCTTGCTGCTAAGAGTCATGATAAGCCCGAATGAATACGATGACCTGCCCTGTTTCTCTTTTTACAAGATACGGTGGGTGATTCTCCAGGGATCCATGTGTCCTGGGTCCTTGTGGTCGCCAGGATCAAGCACTTACAAAGCACTGAAGTGAAAACCTCTGTTTAAGCTGGGTATTCAAAGAAAGCCCTCCAGCCACCCCCACTGCCCGGTTTGACTAAACAATCACTAACGCAAGGTTCGAATTTGGCTTTCCCCGTGTAAACTGCCACCGTATGCAGGACACAGATCTTTGTGGGAGAACTGGAACATGATGCTGCATTAACTCTCAAGGATATCCAGTCATTTCTAACTCTGGCGCACAGCAACATTCTGGCTTTGGAGATCTGCAAGATGGAAAGCCAGTAAAGAAAAGGAAAAAAACCTCCATCACTAGGGATTTGCCTTGAACTGAAAACTGCAGGACGAGGAGGCAGTGTTATCTTTGGGGGACACCTTTAACGTTTCATATTGACGAACGGTTTGTGTGCCACACTGCCACTCAACACCCTTTAAAAGCAGGAACCGGGACCCCAGCATTAAGGGGACGGATGGCAGTTGGCTGCGGGTTTAGGCCTGTGAAAAAAGACCAAGCTGGCAAGCAGGCAATGATGCTTTCATTTTCCCACACGCGCCGGAAAAACGGGAGACACCGGGGACGGGAGCGAAGGACATGTCAAGTCACCAGGTCCCTTGAACGCACACCCCGCTGGACCCTTCAGCTCCGGGCCCGTTTCTCCGCGATTCCTGCCAACCTTCCCGCTCCTTCCAGCCGTCCGCAGCCCCTGCCCAGCCTTCCTCACCCCTTCCTGCCTGCTACTCACAGATTCCCAGCCACTCCTCCCACATTTTCCTCTGCCCCCCCCGCTGCCCGCACTTTCCTCCATCCTGCATCACTCCCCACTCCGTTCCGAGCTCGACCCTCGCCCGTGGTCCCGCC